ATCTAAGACATCAAAACACGGAGATTAGCTATGACTATATAAACTATTTTTTATATAAGATTTTATATCATGATTAGAAAAGTGATATGGCGTGAATGTGTACTGTAAAGTGAACAAGCTTAAAGCATGTGACATTGATAACCGGTAGCAGTAGGTAGTAGGCAGTAGGCAGCTATCAAACAGGGAGGTACTACCGCCTGGGAAGATATTGGAAGCATATGGCATCACGAATATTGTAACCAAGTCCCAGGTTGCTGATCTGTCTTTCTGCCTCATTTACACACAATTGCAGGGTCTCGATTGTTTCTCTTACTTGACAACACTATTGATTTTTGTTTAATTTATGTTTTTCTTTGTATTTCTTTATCATTATTATTACAGTGGGCAATCTAAAACTACAGTAAATCTATAACGGCAGCATGCGGACTGTCAACTCGGGGTTTTAAGTCCTTGAGTTCTTTGAGTATAACTGGGCAGGCTGAGCTTACCATGAATACAAGAGCACACAGTAAGCATAAGGAAACAACTTTAGGTCAATCAATGACTAGCCTCGGCGAGGCAACTTCTGTATAAACCCAACCATTATCACTCATCAGTCAAACCTATTTTCGAAACTTCCCAACGAGTTCGAGCAAATGATGTTATCTGGTAACCTGTTCCATTCGTTTACAACTCTACATCCTAACCAAAGTTTACTCATTATCTTTCTAAAAGTAAATTTTGTTACTGATTTGATAGTTAAAGTACCTTATTTATAACACCCTTGTTTAACCCCATCATCCATGTATACACTTTGATCATATCGCCTGTCAGTCTCTCAACATTAATTTTCAACATACGAGTGGAAAAACAAGTTTAAAATAAGAATATTTGCCGTCCAAGTCGCAAACAAAATTATGCTTTCGGAGTAAGGGGGGGGGGGCGGTGGTTGGGGTGGGGGGCTTCTTAACCTAGTACCGTCATCTAAAAAAAATACAAGTCTTATTATTAACGCCGATCGTTCATAAACAGATTGTCTTCTAGGATATGGGTCCCCACTTTTTATTTCCCCTAAATATTTCTCACGATCTGATTCCTCTGAGTCTATATCGACGTTGTTCGTTTGATAAATAGTTCCCATATTTCCATTTCCTAGCCTAAGAAATTAAAAAAAAATCTGAATGAATTGGTAGTTGACCCTTTCAGTTACTCTTAAAAGCTTATTTACCTATTTAATTTATTTGCCTAATAGAGGTAGCCAAGCCAAGGGGAGGAAGCCTTTGTAGGATCCTTCCATTGTTCTTGATAATTTTGTCTGGGGCTATTTTGAAGCCCGGTACTGTTTTCCATTCAACAGCTTGGGCTGGTAGACCGTTCTATTGGTCTACCATCCTCTTTGTGAAAAGGATTTCCTTCCAATTTATCCTGCGGATAAATTGGCGAGCTTGTAGTACGTCCCCACCTGTTGGTGGTGTGAAACATCGCAAATACGTGGACCGGGTTTCTATGCCTGTATTAAGTAATCTCTTTTAGGCACTTGATATATAGTAGGTAGCAGGCAGCTATCAAACAGGGAGGTACTACCGCCTGGGAAGATATTGGAAGCATAATGTGTTGTCTAATGGTAGACCCTGCTGCCATATGGCATCACGAATATTGTGACCAAGTCCCAGGTTGCTGATCTAACTTTCTGCCTCATTTCCACACAATTGCAGGGTCTCAATTGTTTCTCTTACTATTGACAACACAACATACTGTACTTAAGCGTTTCTCACTATTGATTTTTTTTATTATCATTATTACAGTGATGTTATTGTTATTATTATTTTATTTTATTTTTATTATAAGTTTTATTTACTATGAATTACTGTATTATTATTATAATTATTAAATTTTCGCCCCCCAGGCCCCGATGTGGGTCAGTGACCTGGGCCCGGGTGGGCTAATCTCCTTATAAAAAAAAATAAAATAAAAAAAAATAAAAAACAACTATACACTTATCTCAAGGAAGTATTATGTAACATTTAGTCTGGAATAGTACAATAGCATGGTGGTAATAACAACATTTCATAATGTTACCACGGTTATCACTTCAATATTTATTTATTTTATTTATTTATTATTTTTTTAGTTTATTTTTTTATACATATTATAAGTATATACATAAATTACATTGGAATTGAAAAACATAAATATAATGGGTGGAGCAGTACAACATGGATTGTACAGTATTACGGTTGAAAAAGAGGACAGAGCTGTCAGGATTGTTTCTAGTTGGCAAATATGTTTATTGCAATGGTAGCTTCTTATCTATTTACATGATAATTTGCGATAAAACAGTTTTGATGCTACAATAGAAACAGGTACTGTAAATATAGTAAGTATTACAAGAAATATTAATACTGAGACAAAAGATATTTTTTAAGAGATGATTTAAAGGAAGGGAGCGTAGTCTTTGCTCGGATGGGTGGGGGTAAGTTGTTCCACACCTTCACACCGTGATATTTTATGGAGGTCTGGGACTGAGAGGAGCGCATGGGGGTGGTCTTAGTAGCTCTGGGTGCCTTAAGTTGTATCTCTGATTATTCCGGATGTGGAAATAATTTTTGTCAAGCAAGTGATTGATACATTTCTAAACAAAGAGGGCACAACAGTAGATATTAATATCTTCGAATTTTAACATTTTCAATTTAGCAAATTTTTCGTTTGTGTGATCTGTTTTTTTCAAGTAGGTCAACGTCCATACAACTCTCTTTTGTGCAGTAATCAGGGATTGTCTTTTTGAAGAGCCAGAGGCCCCCCATAGTGTGTGACAGTGTATCAGGTGTTGGTAAACAAGATCATGATAGATTTCTTTCAATGCTGTGAGAGTTAGTGACTGTCGAGTGTGATACATGATACAGCACTGTTTATTGACTTTACTGTGAATGGCTTGTAGGTGGTTTCTCCAGTTAAGTTTCTCATCAACAATAACTCCGAGGAATTTGGTATTTTGTTCGCGCTTGAGGACTGTATTACAGGGGGTCCAAGTCTGGAGGTAAGATTTTCCTTCTGTGAAAGATCGTGTAGTGGGTTTTCTCAAGGTTTAAGGTCAGTTTATTACGTATTACCCAGGTCCTGACTTTAGTCAATTCAGTGTTTATAGTTCTCATCAAGGAATGGAGGTCTGAGTTGCTGGCATAGAGATTACTATCGTCTGTAAATAAGTTGTATTTTATGGGAGTGCTGGCGTGGACTATGTCGTTTATGTACAACAAAAACAGTACTGGACCGATAATGGAACCTTGGGGGCCGCCATACAAGATTGGTGATTATTATAGCAGACATATTGCCTCCTGTCGGACAGATATGAGGTAAACCAATTGTAGGACTGGCCCTAAAGCCGTAATGTTCAAGCTTTGAAAGGAGGATGGTATGGTCGACAGTATCGAAGGCTTTAGAGAGGTCCATGAATATACCGACTGTGAACTGACTGTCATCAAAGGAATTTAAGATGTCATTAGTAAAGGATAGCAGAGCACTCTCAGTCGACCTTCTAGCTCTAAATCCAAACTGAGAGTCTGTAAAGATATTATTGGGATTGCAGAAGGAATTTAATCTACTACACGCTAGCTTCTCCAGTATTTTGCTCAAGGCTGGGAGGACTGATATGGGGCGGAAATTCTTGAAGAGACCTTTGTCCTCAGATTTTTTTTATATACTGGGTGAACTTTAGCAATTTTCAGTTTATCCAGAAAGACACTACTAGTGAAGGAGGAGTTACAAATGTGTAGGAGAACAGGCAGTAATAAGTGGGCTAGTTTCTTAATGATGCTCATTAGTATATTGTTTTCTCCTGCTGCTGCATCTTTGGACATTTTTATGATGGAGTTCCATACTTGTAGGTGTGAAGTGTACCCGGTATGTGGTGCTATAATATAACATGTGGTGCAGTCTGATGTGTTGCGTGTTGTGGTAAGAAGGAATGACAGCGGTAAAGAGGTCATTGCTTGTTATGAAGAATGAAGATGATATTAGTAATTATTTGATGAAGGATGTATACTGATGTGAAGTGTAATGAACATAATAGTGGTCATTCTGATGAAGGCCAACTCTTTTTGTATTGTGACGGGATGCAATGTTTTTATAATGAATAAATTGGTTAAGTCATGATTGATGTTTCACCCTTCTTCCCACTCTCGATTTGGTCAATGCAAAACCCAACCCAATGACTGGCTTCCTCTGCCAGCTACCTAAAAAAGCTGCATACTGTCCAGGGGGTCTGGTGGCAGCGACCTTAAAATTAAGAGTAGATTTAAGTTATCCTCTTAGGATTAGTGACCCCAGAATGGGCAGTATAAATTGGTGAATGATCTATCACCTCGCTTGGGTATTTTTCCTTATTGATAGCACCCAGAATAGAATAGTTGTATATAGGGTTGTTGTATCCTAGTATAAGGTCATGCATTTCGTAATGTAAAGGGCGGGAAGACTGTCTTTTCTGTCTATTTATTCGATTATAATCTTAGAGAATGTGACGTACAGACAGGTTTACAATTAATGTTACAAATATTCTGAGTATTACCTTAACTTACTAAACCTCCCACTGTGAATGAAGTCATTATCATAGAAATATCCTTCCTGCATTAATCATGAAGGGTTAGGATAAACCAGTAGTTAATTTGACGGTCTGATGCTACAGAGTTCATAGTAAATTTTCTCGCTTCCTGGGCAGGAGGAGAGTGCCAAGGTTTCCTCTGAATTAGCGGGCAGTTGTTGAGGATCATTACCTGGTCAAAGTGCGAACATTATGAAACATTTTAACTTTTACTGAAACCCTTAACTATCTAAGGACTGATCAGTTTAATGAACTCAGGAAAGAAGAAAGTACATAACAATTATGAGGCACAACTAGTCTCTGACCTACAGCCTAGGAAGAGGTTGTTACATGTTATGGTAGTTTAACATTGACAATAAGATAAATAAAATGAACTTCAAAACAAAGACTGGCGGATTGACGGACTATGTTTGTGTCCCTGCAGGTTTCAACTCGAGCGACGAAATTTTCTTGAATAACAACCAGCTGACATTATTAGAAGAGGAGGTGTGGCAGCCGGTGCTCCAACAGGGCGTTACCCTCTACCTAGGAGGTGAGTACACGTGTCTTACTAGTACTGTACTCTTAACACTAGTGTACAGGAGTCTTACTAGTACTGTACTCTTAACACTAGTGTACATGAGTCTTACTAGTACTGTACTCTTAACACTAGTGTACACGTGTCTTACTAGTACTGTACTCTTAACACTAGTGTACATGAGTCATACTAGTACTGTACTCTTAACACTAGTGTACACGTGTCTTACTAGTACTGTACTCTTAACACTAGTGTACATGAGTCTTACTAGTACTGTACTCTTAACACTAGTGTACATGAGTCTTACTAGTACTGTACTCTTAATTAGTGTACATGAGTCTATTAGTACTGTACTCTTCACTAGTGTACATGAGTCTTACTAGTACTGTACTCTTAACACTAGTGTACATGAGTCTTACTAGTACTGTACTCTTAACACTAGTGTACAGGAGTCTTACTAGTACTGTACTCTTAACACTAGTGTACAGGAGTCTTACTAGTACTGTACTCTTAACACTAGTGTACATGAGTCTTACTAGTACTGTACTCTTAACACTAGTGTACATGAGTCTTACTAGTACTGTACTCTTAACACTAGTGTACATGAGTCTTACTAGTACTGTACTCTTAACACTAGTGTACATGAGTCATACTAGTACTGTACTCTTAACACTAGTGTACACGTGTCTTACTAGTACTGTACTCTTAACACTAGTGTACATGAGTCTTACTAGTACTGTACTCTTAACACTAGTGTACATGAGTCTTACTAGTACTGTACTCTTAACACTAGTGTACAGGAGTCTTACTAATACTGTACTCTTAACACTAGTGTACAGGAGTCTTACTAGTATTGTACTCTTAACACTAGTGTACATGAGTCATACAAGTACTGTACTCTTAACACTAGTGTACATGAGTCATACTAGTACTGTACTCTTAACACTAGTGTACAGGAGTCTTACTAGTATTGTACTCTTAACACTAGTGTACATGAGTCATACAAGTACTGTACTCTTAACACTAGTGTACATGAGTCTTACTAGTACTGTACTCTTAACACTAGTGTACATGAGTCTTACTAGTACTGTACTCTTAACACTAGCGTACAGGAGTCTTACTAATACTGTACTCTTAACACTAGTGTACATGAGTCTTACTAGTATTGTACTCTTAACACTAGTGTACAGGAGTCTTACTAATACTGTACTCTTAACACTAGTGTACATGAGTCATACTAATACTGTACTCTTAACACTAGTGTACATGAGTCTTACTAGTACTGTACTCTTAACACTAGTGTACAGGAGTCTTACTAGTACTGTACTCTTAACACTAGTGTACATGAGTCTTACTAGTACTGTACTATTAACACTAGTGTACATGAGTCTTACTAGTACTGTACTCTTAACACTAGTGTACAGGAGTCTTACTAGTACTGTACTCTTAACACTAGTGTACAGGAGTCTTACTAGTACTGTACTCTTAACACTAGTGTACATGAGTCTTACTAGTACTGTACTCTTAACACTAGTGTACATGAGCTCATAATACTAGTAATTGCACTCTGGCAATTAGTGTACAGGAGTCTTACTAGTATTAGTACTCTTTAACACTTTTAGTGCATGAGTCATACTAGGTTGCACTTCTTAACACTAGTGTACACGTGTTCATTAGTATTTTTAACACTAGTGTACAGGAGTCTTACTAGTATTGTACTCTTAACACTAGTGTACATGAGTCATACTAGTACTGTACTCTTAACACTAGTGTACAGGAGTCTTACTAGTATTGTACTCTTAACACTAGTGTACAGGAGTCTTACTAGTATTGTACTCTTAACACCACTGTACAGGAGTCTTACTAGTATTGTACTCTTAACACTAGTGTACATGAGTCTTACTAGTACTGTACTCTTAACACTAGTGTACAGGAGTCTTACTAGTATTGTACTCTTAACACTAGTGTACAGGAGTCTTACTAGTATTGTACTCTTAACACTAGTGTACAGGAGTCTTACTAGTATTGTACTCTTAACACCACTGTACAGGAGTCTTACTAGTATTGTACTTTTAACACCACTGTACAGGAGTCTTACTAGTATTGTACTCTTAACACTAGTGTACAGGAGTCTTACTAGTATTGTACTCTTAACACTAGTGTACAGGAGTCTTACTAGTATTGTACTCTTAACACTAGTGTACATGAGTCATACTAGTACTGTACTCTTAACACTAGTGTACAGGAGTCTTACTAGTATTGTACTCTTTTTTAACACTAGTGTGGGTTGCGGAGTCTTACTAGTATTGTACTCTTAACACTAGTACAGGAGTCTTACTAGTATTAAGACTCTTAACACCACTGTACAGGAGTCTTACTAGTATTGTAGTTTTAATTTCACCACTGTGGTTATGGAGCTCATTAGTATTAGAATTTTTTAACACTAGTGTAGTTGCGGAGTCTACTAGTATTGTACTCTAATGACTAGTGTACAGGAGTCTTACTAGTATTGGTGTACTCTTTAACACTAGTGTGTTACGAGTCATACTAGTATCAGTACTCTTAACACTAGTGCACAGGAGTCTTACTATATTGTACTTCTAACACTAGTGTACAGGAGTCTTACTAGTATTACTCTTAACACCACTGTACAGGAGTCTTACTAGTATTGTACTCTTAACACTAGTGTACAGGAGTCTTACTAGTATTGTACTCTTAACACTAGTGTACAGGAGTCTTACTAGTATTGTACTCTTAACACCACTGTACAGGAGTCTTACTAGTATTGTACTCTTAACACTAGTGTACATGAGTCTTACTAGTATTGTACTCTTAACACTAGTGTACATGAGTCTTACTAGTACTGTACTCTTAACACTAGTGTACAGGAGTCTTACTAGTACTGTACTTTTAACACTAGTGTACATGAGTCTTACTAGTACTGTACTCTTAACACTAGTGTACATGAGTCTTACTAGTACTGTACTCTTCACACTAGTGTACAGGAGTCTTACTAGTACTGTACTTTTAACACTAGTGTACATGAGTCTTACTAGTACTGTACTCTTAACACTAGTGTACAGGAGTCTTACTAGTACTGTACTTTTAACACTAGTGTACATGAGTCTTACTAGTACTGTACTCTTAACACTAGTGTACATGAGTCTTACTAGTACTGTACTCTTAACACTAGTGTACAGGAGTCTTACTAGTACTGTACTTTTAACACTAGTGTACATGAGTCTTACTAGTACTGTACTCTTAACACCACTGTACACAGACCAATACTAGAGGTACACACACATCAAACTCTGTATGCATCCTTGTCATACCCATGTAACACCGTCATCATCTTCCCCATGTGACAGTCATCATCTTCCCCATGTGACAGTCGTCATCTTCCCCATGTAACAGTCATCATCTTCCCCATGTAACAGTCATCATCTTCCCCATGTGACAGTCGTCATCTTCCCCAGGTAACAGTCATCATCTTCCCCATGTAACAGTCATCATCTTCCCCATGTGACAGTCGTCATCTTCCCCAGGTAACAGTCATCATCTTCCCCAGGTAACAGTCATCATCTTCCCCATGTGACAGTCGTCATCTTCCCCAGGTAACAGTCATCATCTTCCCCAGGTAACAGTCATCATCTTTCCCATGTAACACCGTCATCATCTTCCCCATGTGACAGTCATCATCTTCCCCATGTGACAGTCGTCATCTTCCCCATGTAACAGTCATCATCTTCCCCATGTAACAGTCATCATCTTCCCCATGTGACAGTCGTCATCTTCCCCAGGTAACAGTCATCATCTTCCCCAGGTAACAGTCATCATCTTCCCCATGTGACAGTCGTCATCTTCCCCAGGTAACAGTCATCACCTTCCCCAGGTAACAGTCATCATCTTTCCCAGGTAACAGTCATCATCTTCCCCAGGTAACAGTCATCATCTTCCCCATGTGACAGTCGTCATCTTTCCCCAGGTAACAGTCATCATCTTCCCCAGGTAACAGTCATCATCTTTCCCAGGTAACAGTCATCATCTTCCCCAGGTAACAGTCATCATCTTCCCCAGGTAACAGTCATCATCTTTCCCAGGTAACAGTCATCATCTTCCCAGGTAACAGTCATCATCTTCCCCATGTATAGTCATCATCTTCCCAGGTAACAGTCATCATCTTCCCCAGGTAACAGGTCTTCCCCAGGTAACAGTCATCATCTTCCCCAGGTAACAGTCACCATCTTTCCCAGGTAACAGTCATCATCTCTCCCCAGGTAACAGTCGTCATCTTCCCCAGGTAACAGCCAACATCGTCTTCCCAGGTAACAGTCGTCATCTTAGGTAATTACCCAGTCAGCGTAACAGTCATCATCTTCCCCAGGTAACAGTCATCATCTTCCCCATGTAACAGTCATCATCTTCCCCAGTTAACAGTCATCATCTTCCCCATGTAACAGTCATCATCTTCCCCATGTAACAGTAATCGTCTTCCCCAGGTAACAGTCATCATCTTTCCCATGTGACCGTCATCATCTTCCCCAGGTAACAGTCATCATCTTCCCCAGGTAACAGTCGTCATCTTCCCCAGGTAACAGTCATCATCTTCCCCAGGTAACAGTCATCATCTTCCCCAGGTAACAGTCATCATCTTCCCCAGGTAACAGTCGTCATCTTCCCCAGGTAACAGTCATCATCTTCCCAGGTAACAGTCATCATCTTCCCCAGGTAACAGTCATCATCTTCCCCAGGTAACAGTCATCATCTTCCCCAGGTAACAGTCGTCATCTTCCCCAGGTAACAGTCATCATCTTCCCCAGGTAACAGTCGTCATCTTCCCCAGGTAACAGTCATCATCTTCCCCAGGTAACAGTCATCATCTTCCCCAGGTAACAGTCATCATCTTCCCCAGGTAACGGTCATCATCTTCCCCAGGTAACAGTCATCATCTTCCCAGGTAACGGTCTCATCTTCCCCAGGTAACAGTCATCATCTTCCCCAGGTAACAGTCATCATCTTCCCAGGTAACAGTTCCCCAGGTAACAGTCGTCATCTTCCCCAGGTAACAGTCATCATCTTCCCCGGGTAACAGTCGTCATCTTCCCCCAGGTAACAGTCGTCATCTTCCCCAGGTAACAGTCGTCATCTTCCCCATGTAACAGTCATCATCTTCCCCAGGTAACAGTCGTCATCTTCCCCAGGTAACAGTCATCATCTTCCCCGGGTAACAGTCGTCATCTTCCCCAGGTAATCCTCTGCAGTGTGGCTGTGAAATCGCCTTTATCATCCTGAACTCCACCTTCCTCGGCCTCATTGACAACAGCACCTCCTGTTCTGACGGAGAGCTGCTGGTGAACCTCGACCCCGCCATCTACGAGCAGTTCTGTTAACACGATCACCCGCTGCTGTACCCTTCCTCTGACACGCCCTGACCACACCCTTCTTTACTTAAATTTGTTCATAAAGAAATTTCAAAAGAAACATTGACTCGTTTATCTTTACTCCCAAATCGTGTTATTTCTGGGGATTTTTATTTTAAAAATTTCTACATCGTGATTATGACAACCAAACATCACATCATATTATGTTACGCGCTCTTGTATACAAAGTCGAATTTAGTCAATAGACAATAAAATAAAATAAAATAAAATAAATCCAAACGAAAATTGCACAATTTATTTTTTGAGAATTATGTAACAAATAGTAAAAAAAAAAACTCTTTGATATTGTGATAAAACTTCTTATAGTGTATTGCGGGATGTCTTCACGTTACACTCATTACTACACTACTGTAGGTACTTTCTTATTACGCAACACTCACTCATCTAGTGGTATTACATCTTGCACCTTTCCTTGAAGACGTCTGCTGGGACTCTACACCACCACTCACCCGACACCCTCACTCAACACCACTCGCTACAGCTGGAGGACCCTTGTCCCTGGGAGTACTGTAGATGTAACGGCTGAGAGTGGAGGCCACCACTCTCACTCACCTTCCTTATATTAAGTGGTTGTTCAGAGTGCCATGACGATTGAACTTTTATTTGATTGTTGTTAAACGTAAATAACAAATATATGAAGGAGATGCAGTTCTATTTATATTTGTGTATGAGATATAATAATGTTCTCTCACACACACACTGCAGAACATGATCAATCTTACAACATCTGGTGATGAACAAACCCAGAGTAACTACAATATGCTTTATGGTGTTGTCTGAAAAACGAAAATGCAATTTCAAAATAATTTCCTGTTACTTCAGTGTTATTACTGAAACACTAAAATTTGGTGATTTGTCAACAGGTATAAATGACGTTGGTGAGTTTAATGTGATAAATGATCGTCCTGTTGGAATTACTTCTGTAAATAATTACCAAGTCTTTGTGGAAGAAAACTAAAGTGGATTATATTATAAGACAGAGAAACATATATTCCGTGACGTATTACTTTCGGTATACACAAACAGTTCATCACTTATCTGACCCATTAAAAAAAGAATAACTTCAAAAACATCCTAGATACAACACCCCGGATTTAATGTAATTGAACAACTCATAATTTGTGTCTTATGTTAGTAAACTTCCACTGGCGGCTTTAACGTTATTACATACGGCAGATGTCGACGCTCTTGTATAATATCGTGATGGAAGAGATCACCATCGAGAGTGTTCAAGGTCCTATAAAATTTGTGTGAGAGTGAAACACAGCAAGACGAAAAAAAATTCAAATAATAAATTCAAAATAAATTTCGAACTGCAACGAAGAAGACATTTGTGTACCGTACATAAAGAGGCTATAGGTAATTATAGACGTTTATGAAGTAAACCGTCATCTCAGCCACAGTATAAAACAAGATCAATATTAATCTAAAATAACCAAAAACATAATAAAGGAAAATACACAAATAATATAAAATTAGTCAAATATGATAAACTTTGCGGAACAATAAGGACTACATGAGACCCGACATTTGACATTGTTCAAATCACGTCCTCACTTCCAACTGGACAGCGAGGCAAAGACGTAGAGGAGGCAAACAGAATATATATATATATATATATATATATATATATATATATATATATATATATATATATATATATATATATATATATATATATATGCAACAAAATCACTGTAGGTGCGCGTGATCCAGGTATATGCTGATAACCACAAGGAAAAAGAAAACACGAAGATCCCAAGCGCTTTCGTGTAATTCACATCTTCAAGGGTGAGTACTGACTAAAATAGAAGTGCAGAACAAGTTGTATAAAGACAGAGGAGGGTTAGAAAAAGTCCACAGAGGTCAAGTGTAGGTAATGACCCTACTAATCTTTACAAAAGCACCGCAGCGGTCGGTAGTCAGGTCAGAGTGAAAACTGACCCAACCTTCTCACCTAGTTACAAATCTTCTTAATTACAAAATTGTCCAATTTGTACAAAGCGTTACTCAAATTCATGTTAACGGATTCGGTATGTTTAATGAGACTAGATTCTATGATGTTCCTACTGTCAATTAAATTACAAGGAACATCATAGAATCTAGTCTCATTGAACATACCGAATGGAGGAAACTGCAGCGGGCCTATTGGCCCATACTGGGCAGTCCTGTTTACACCCAACCCCTATTGCTCATATAAGCATCCAACCTATGTTTGAAGCTATTCAGCGTATTCGAGTTAATGATGATATTTGGTAACTTGTTTCATTCATCCACTACTCTGTTTCCAAACCAGTATTTACCTATTTCACGCCTAAATCAAAATTTGTCTAATTTAAAATCATTGTTACGAATTCGCTCCTGGTTGGATAGTTTGAGTACCTTTGTAATGTCCCCTTTGTTTAGCCCTGACTTCCACTTATACACCTCTATCAGGTCGCCCCTCGCTCTACGTCTCTCGAGGAAGTGCAAATTAAGATGCTTTAACCTGTCTCTATACTCAAGGCTCCTAATGCCCGGGATTAGTCTTGTCATTCTCCTCTGAATTCTTTCCAATGATTCTATATCCATCCTGTAATACGGTGACCAGAACTGAACTGCGCAATCCAGGTGTGGTCTCACAAGCGCAAAATACAGTTTTAGGATGACCTCGCTAGTCTTGTAACTAACACTCCTTTGTATGAACCCAAGAACTTTATAAGCCTTGTTACGAGAAAAACACATTGTTTACTTGGCTTAAGGTTCCTACTTATCATTACTCCTAAATCTCTCTCACAGTCGGATTTCTCTATGGCATCGTTGTTCATCTGGTACCTGGTTTCCCTGTTTACATCTCCTACTGTATACTGAGTACTTTACATTTGTCCACTTTGAATTTCTTCTGCCATTTTTCAGACCATTCGAAAAATTTGTTTAGATCTTCCTGTAGTTTTACGGAGTCCTCGTCAGATTTAATAACACGTCCTATTTTAGTGTCATCAGCAAATTTACTTATGTTGCTGTCTATGCCGATATCTATGTCGTTTATGTATATAATAAATAATAATGGTCCAAGTACTGAGTCTTGGGGAACTCCACTTGTGACGTTGCTCCAATGGGACATAGTGCCGTTAATGCTCACTGGCTGTTTCCTGTCCTGTAACCACGCCCTAATCCATTTAAGGATGTTACCTTTGATGCCATGTGCTTCTACCTTTCTAATTAGTCTTTCGTGGGGGACTCTGTCGAAGGTTTTGCTAAAGTCGAGATATACCACATCATAATTGTACCCCTCGTCCACCGATTCGAAAACTGATGAAAAGAATGTTAATAGATTAGTTAGACAAGAACGTCCACTTGTGAAGCCATGCTGGGAATCATTGATCAATCGGTGCTTCTCCAGGTGATTTCGTAAGGAGTTTGAAATGATTGCTTCCAGTAATTTGCCTACTATTGATGTTAGACTGATTGGGCGGTAGTTAGCGTATAGTGATCTATCCCCCTTCTTGAAAATCGGTATTACGTACATTCGTTATCTTCCAGGATTCTGGTACTACACCTGTTTTTAAGGATATGTTAACCAACTTTGCTAAGGGCATACTAAGCTCTTCCTTACATTCCTTTAATAATCTGGCAAATATCTCATCGGGACCAGGTGACTTATGAGGCTTTAGTTTGTCTATTTGCTTACTAACATCGTTACTAGTCACTACTATCTCGCTTAATTTGTTTTCTTCACTATCTCTGAATAGAGTCGGTGCCACGGGTATCATGTTTAAATTTTCAGTGGTGATAACTGTTGAAAAATATTTATTCAAATTATTGCTCATTTCTCCATCGTTATCAGTGAGCTCGCCGGTATCTGACCGTATAGGTCCAATCTTTTCTCATGTTATAGTTTAATCCATTTGGTAGAATCCTTTGGGGTTTGTCTTCGCCTCCCTTGCTATCATTACCTCATTATTCCTCTTGGCTTTCCTCATCTCGGTTTTAACCCTACTCGCCAATATCTTATAATAATCCTGGAGATAAATTTCGCCACGCTTTATCCTTCTACCTATAGCCTTCCTTTGGCCAATGATGTTTTTTAAATAATTATTTATCCATTTAGGGTCATTGTTGTCTGATCTGAGTTTTTTGTATGGTATGTTCTGCCTTTGTGCATTAAGTAACTAATTATTTAAATTGTCGTGGAACTCGGCAATCTCAGATCTCGTTATCAGGTCTGAGTCATCTGTCAGGTTCACGGCCAAGCGCGACACCCCCTCTCTCAGCTGCCTCTTTAAACTGTCAAAGTTTGCCCTTCTGAAATCTGGTACTTCAGTGGAATTTTCCTTACGTCTGCCCTGAAAATCTAACTGCAATCTAATTTCTTTGTGATCGCTGTTTGCAAGTTCGTTCCCTACCTCGACATTGCTAATGAGGTTTTCGCTGTTCGACAGAACTAAATCGAGTAAATTATTACCCCGTGTGGGTTCGGTTATATGTTGACTTAGGAAACAGACCTGGATCGTCTCGAAAAAATCATCTGATTCTGAGTTTCCCGTAAGGTCAGTCCAATCTATTTGGCCAAGGTTAAAGTCGCCTACTATACAGACTTTGTTGTGTATGGAAGCCCTGCGCATTTCATCCCAGATAAGTCGCTCATTGACTCTATCAAGATTGGGAGGTCTATATATTACTCCTGTGATTAATTTTTCCCTACCGTCGATTAATTCTATCCAAATTGTTTCTGTATTCCGCTCAGTTTTTATTTCCTTATTTATTTCACACTTCACATTATCCCTAACATAGATTGCTACTCCGCCTCGTTTTCTGGTCAGCCTATCGGTATGGAACAATTTGTAACCCGCAATTTGGTATTCGACCAGCAACTCACGTGAGTCTAGGTTGATCCATGTTTCAGTGAATGCTATTATATCGATTTTTTCGGTACATACCAAGGCCCTAATATCATCCATTTTGCTTCTCATACTTCTACTGTTCGCGTAGTAGACATTTAAGTTAGTCGTGTTCTGAGTCCTCCCTTTGCCGCGTTTAGTTTTAAACTCCCTGTTTAATTT